TAGAAAGAGAGCAAGTAGGGTTATAGGAGAGTTTTCAAGGGAGAAAAGGGAAAAGAGAAATGAACTTATATTAGAATCTTAAAAATAATTCTAATTATTAAATATAATGGATGAAATGTAGGTTAGTATATACCACATGTGATCATTTGTCCAACATAGCTCATTTCATTGTATAAGAGTAGAACATATTTGAAAGTATTTACACAAAAATATAATGATTCCTTCAAAAAACTGGACTAAGATAGAGGTAAATTTACTCTTCATTATCATACTAATTTATGGTATTTGTTCAAATGAGTATATCCTACATATTGCATATGTAAGGCCAGAAAACTGATCCAAAATAAAAATGGAAGTTTAGTGAACAAAACAAAAGTCTTATTTTAAAATTAAAACATTTCTATACATGTTTTGAATAATGGAAAATTCCAGCAGGTGCCCATATGAAAACTACTTGCATGTTGCTGCTAATTACAGGCTAAAATTGTACCAATTATACAACATGGCTGATACAAGGGTTAAAGCAATTTTAGTAACTATAGTAGAACTGTATTATCCAGATCAAGAGAACTGATTGCTCCAATTTACTGGGTACACTTTCAGCCATGCCTGGAGCATTATGCTCATTTCACAAATTAGGGAAGATATTCTAGGAAAAGTATCCAAGAGAAAGATGAACTGATGAAAAAAACTGAAAAAGTTTAGTTTCTATGCTGTTTACTTTGCGACTAATATATACTTAACATTTAAAATTTGTTTGAGAATTCCATATCCGACTTTCATATGAGATGAGTTTTCCTTCACTCAGCCACATTTTAGAACCAGGAATGCCCTTCATCTCCCGATTTTCCTGCTCTATCTCCCAGAGTACTTGGAATTACAGACACACATGTCATGTCTGCTTTCTTTCTTTTTCTTTCTTTCTTTCTTTCTTTCTTCCTTCCTTCCTTCCTTCCTTCCTCCCTCCCTCCCCCCCTCCCTCCCCCCTTTCCTTTCTCCCTTCCTTTTTCTCTTTTTTTCTTTCAAAAATTGATTTCTAAAAGAAAGGCAAGGAAAATAAGTATTTTTCTTCAAATATATGAAGACAATGGGATTACAGTTATTTTACATCCCCCCCAATAGCATCACTACACTATACAGCAGCTAAAGATAACAAGCCTTGGCTCAGTATAAAGATGTTTTAACAACCTGGTTGTAAGACAGAAGCAGAATGGAAAAAATATTTACTGTCTATCTTCATGCCATAGTCCTTGCGTGAATAATATTGATCCTGCAAGGAACATGTTATCTGTTTTCCACAGGAGAAAATGGAAGATTAATATTGATTTTTACCTAAATCCCATCTCTCTTTCCTTCCATCTTTCTTTCCTTCCTTCCTTCTTTCCTTCCTTCCTTCCTCCCTCCCTCCCTCCCTCCCTCCCTCCCTTCCTTCCTTCCTTCCTTTTTTGGTTCCTTTCTTCTGTCCCTCACTTTTCCTCTCTTCTTCTCTTCCTCTTCTTCTTTTGCCTCCCTGTTCTGTGCGCTGCTTATCAGAGCTAGGTCTCTATGTGTGGTATGCTAAGCAAATCTTCTGTTGAGCTCCATCACTAGCTTGGGCAAGTATTTAAATATTGTTTACAAGAATGTCCTAACTCTGCCTCCATGCATGCTCTTTCATCCCTTCAATAACAATATGGATAAAATGTTCTGTCTAAAGCATACATTTGATGCTCTTTGATTGCTTCCCTGAATAAATGATTGAACTGAATTTATCAAACTCTTCATGATCTGGCCTTTGACTATGTTTCTGTTGTCACTCATCATTCATGACCATAAAAGATGTTTTCTAATTATTCAGATACATACAGAAAAAAATGGTGTTTCAATGGGAAAATATGTCTCCTCTATGATAGATTTTCCTATGTTATCATAAGGTGGTCTTGCATATAATCTTTGATCTCATTTGCAATTATCTGTAAATCAGAGTCAACAATGTTTTGATCCTTGTTAGAATGGTAAGGGAAGACCATTTGGGAATGATTAGGGCTGTATCTTAGCTGGTAGAGTGCTTGGATAGTATGAAAAAGGCCCTAAATTTCATCTCTAGCACTATATAACACTGGATATGGTGTGCACTCCTTTAATCCCAGTACTGTGGAGCTAGAGATCATTCTTAGTTACAGAGTGAGTTTGAGGTTACCAGCTATAGGAGTCCATATCTAAAAAAAAAAAAAATGAAAAATAGTATCCAAGGTTTGCCTTAAAGAAGAGAGACAGATTTTCACTCTGAATATAGCAAAGGTAAACGGCAATTAAACAATGAATAACTAAACAAATAAAGATCAATGAATGGAAAATCTTCTAAGAGAAAAATATGAAGGTAGGGAGATCCTTATGAACCTCACCCAATAGGATCCTTGATGAATGCAGGTGAAAAATTTAGATAGCAACCATAAAGGACAAGAAAATTGATCAAATGTCAAAGGTAGGGAGATAACATTGTAGAATTCTTCACTAAAACTCTATTTCAAAGTCTATATGCAAGATAGGGACTTAGCCAAGGAGAATGCAGAAGGGATTTCACTAAAGCTCGGTCAAGAAGAAAATCTTCAAGAACAGATACCTTGCAATTAGAGCTCTGCATGGATGGTCTCAACTCTAAAGTGGTAGAAATGAGATATTGGATGCCAAGGCCTGCATCACATTTCTATGAGTGCTGAATGAAAAGAAGCTCAGAATAAAATGAACTTCATCTCTATAGGTTTCCCCATAGTTTTGTGATAGCAGCCTTTCTGGTTTGGTTAGATTAAGGTCCAAGTAAAATCGAGGAACCAAAGCATAAAGATGGATATGTTTTCTAGGGTGTTCCTGGATGGACGCCTGTTATGAATTTTTTTAGTGAACATCCCTATATAGTTTTAATTGAAGCTGCTTCTTTCTATTTGTGTGGGCAAGTCACACCAATGATTTGCTAAAGAAGGAATGGAAATGAGCTCAATGAAATGGTGCAAACAGCTTGCAATAGACACATCTCTCCCCAGACAGGCACTTCTTTGACTTCTCTCTGAGATGGTGCCAAACTCAACTCATAGGGTTAACAGCTCAAACAGCCTAGTCGTTCGACAGGTACAAACTAGGGAGCATGACAGATGCCTTAATCACAGGGTCCCATGCTTCTCTTCTTTGTACCTGGGGAGGGGGGGCAGAAAAGCAGGACAGACTTTTCGTTAAAATCGTAAGAATGGCTCACAACTTTCACACCTATTATTACAGATCATGTCTGGAGTAACTCAACGTCAGAGTTGGGCTGGAATATTTAAACAAGAAGATTACATTGAAATGGTACTCAGGAGGAGGTAACTTGCCAGCATTCATAGAGAAGCTATATGGTTTTGTTTTTTACTTTATTCATCCTGACCACAATTTCCCCTCCTTCCACTCCTTCCAGATCCTCCTTCTATGCCCTCTCTCCCCCAGACCAACTCCTCCTCTGTTTTCCTTCAAAAAGTAAACAGAAACAAAGAGGGATACTCGCAGGCGTATCCACTGAATATAACCTAACGAGATAAAAAAAGACTGGGCACAAATCCTCATATCACAGGTGGATGTGGCAACCCAGTAGGAGGAAAAGGCTCCCAAACACACTGCTTTCCACCATTTAAAAAAGGAGGGGTTTAAGCTAAGCTCATCCGACTTGGATTTTTTGTGCATCCTTTTTTTCCTGTCAGGAAAAACATTCTTTATCATTACTAAAAGCCACTTTATCAGCAGGATTAAGAAAAAACTGTAGTAGAAGGCAAAGAGAAACAGAAAATTACCAGGACAGTTGTCATAGGACAGATTCCAGCCTGGTAGGGGTTCTGGAATCAGATTTGTGAAATTACAGCACTTGACCAGCAGAAATATTAGAGGACACAGAGTTTACAAAGCATATGATAATTTAAAAACTTTTTATTGGTTCTTTGTAAATTTCATACCATGTACCCCAATCCCTCTCATCTCCTCCTCCCCACACCCCGCCCTCATACCCACACCCCACCCTTGCAACCTCCCCACCAACAGAGAAAAAAACAAACATCTCATTGTAGAAGCTATAGTGTGTCACAGTGTGTCCCACAGTATATCCTTTTGTCCACACTTCTTTGCTTGCAAATGTTCATTGCAGTGACTCTGTGATCTGGAGCAAAGCCTCTGGCTTCTGCTACTCAATCAATCCTGAAACCTCACTGAGACTCCTCTTGCATATCCTGTTGTTGCCCGGTGTCATGGAGATCCTGTAGTTTTCAGTCCTTAGGACTAGCCTTTTCATGTACTCCAGCAGTTCATCGATGGGGTAGAAGTTGGGGCAGGCCAATTCAAAGCCCTGGCTCTGGGCCTGAGCAATATCTGAGCTGGTCAGACCACAGGCTCTCCCCCTCTCAGATCCTCGGGGCCTATTCACCGGGAAACCAGTGAACCAAACCAGGGCCAGCTCTACCCTGTTATCCAGGTTAGGTGTAGTAGCAGCTCTCCTGCTCTGATGATCTAGAGGCCACCTCTCCTGCCTGTGGTAGGTGGCAAGGGACAAGAGGTTGGGGGTATCTCTCCCTTGCCCACATCACCCTATGACAGACAAGTGGCAGAAATCACTGGCACCCCAAACCTATCCACTCCCTATCTCCAGGATCAGCTCTACTGTACTGCCCAGACAAAGTACCTGGCCTCTTCCCCCAAGTGCTGTACCAGGTAAGAGGCAGGGCCAACTCTCCTGCTTTCATGAGCACAGGGCCTGATCTCCTGTCTACCATAGGTGGTAAGGGGCAAGGCAGTATGAGGGTATCACTCCATCATCCATGCTACAGCACAGGAAAGAATTAATAGGTCACCTTGAGAGGGTTCCTGTCACAGGCTCACTTCCCTAGGAGGCTATGGTCCCAGGCAAGGTTCTTGTAGTCTACAGCTTACTTTCCCCTCTTGGGAGCCCATTCAGGTCTGCTGGGTGCCAGATTGGTAATAGTCTTAGGTGTTTTTTTTTCCCATAGAATGTTAGGTTAGTAATCATTTACATGTTCAGAGGTCAGAACACTGAAAGTAGACATAGCCTTTCTCCTCTTTGCTACCTACTGACACACATGTGACATAGCAACCACACCTGCAATGCTTCTAGGGCCAGGCAACTCATGGCATTTTAACTGCTGAGACATCGCTCCAGCCAACTCATGGCATTTTAAAGATGAACTTTATTTAGTTCATAATTTTTGGACTTCTAAAACTGCATTTCCCAAATTACACTTACATATGTACAAGTCTCTCTTATTTATAATAAACTCTATTTTCCAAGTTGAAACTATTTTTTGAGATTATAAAATAATTACATCATTCTCTCCCCCCCCACTCTCTTTCCTCCCTCCAAATCTTCCCATGAACACCTTAGACTCTTTCAAATTCATGGCCTCTTATGTCATCCATTGTTGCTGTGTATGTATGTATTGCTAAATAAATAAATATAACCTTATCAATCTGTAAAATGATATATATGTGTATGTGTTTTCAGGGCTGACTGATTGATATTGGATAACCAATCAGTGTGCTCTTCCTTGGGAATGAATATTTCTCCCATGTTCAGCATTCCTTAGGTACCTGTAGATCTTTATGCAGGGTTGAGGTCATATGGGCTTTTCTCTGTCAACTTAGGCATGTCTCCTGAGTTCATCCTTTTTTGGCTCATGTTTGTGAAGTCATGTTGATGAGACTTTATGAGTATAGCTTCTGATATTTCTGGGAGATGTACTCTAACAGCAAACTCCTTGGTCAATCGCTCTGCTCCCTCTTCCACAATGACCCATGAGCCTGAGGTTCAGGAGTCGTCTGATAGATTAGGTATGTCTAGGGTCCACAATTCTGCATGAAATGCTGTTTTATTTCAGTAATCAATCTGATATTAGAGGGTGTCAGGCAAGGAAAAGTTATCATAGTTGTTAGTACTTGTTAGACTGATTTTATGAACAGGATAAGCTCACACATTAACTAGAAAGGATTTGTATGCATATATGTGTGCATACCTGTGTGCATGCATGTGTATATTCATATGTGTGAAGGTTCACATGAATGTGGTGACCAGAGGACAATGTCAGGTGTCATCCCTTAGGTGCTGCGTATCTTTTTATCTGAGACATATCTCACTGACCTTGAGCTCACCAAGTAGAATAGACTGGCTGGCTAGCAAGCCCCAGGGATCTAATTATTTCTGCCTACTCAGTGCTGGTACAATAAGCACCACCATGACTAGTTTTCAGTTTTGTTTTTAATGTGAATTCTGGGGATCAAATCCTGGTCCTTGTGCCTGCAAGTTTAGCACTTTACTGACTGAGCCATCTCCCAAGTCACAAAAAGGTGTTTCTTTACTTTCTTTTAATTTATTGAGAAATCATTGGTATACTTGGCCACTGAAAAGAAAGTGAATTGTAAGAAAGGGGGAAATAGAAAAAATAGGAATGCATGGAACTGAAGACATGAGATGGTTTAGCAGCTACTGTAACGATTTGTTTCAGAGTAAGAGAACACAAGTCAGTTTACATTAAATAGGCTCATTTTAGCTCAATTTTACTTTGTCATGTTTATATTTTTGTTAATGAGGATGGCAGAAGTTGGTAGTTTAAAGATGTTTCTACCCCATTAACTCACAGAGTTCAGAAAACAGAGGGATCAAGAATGCATCAGTCTCTTCTAGTGTCCTGCAGTTGGAACTTGCTTTCCATTCACCATTGTAGTTCATGTTTGTAAGGTTCAATAGTAATTGTAAAATTGGAATGCTTATACATTTGCCATGTAAATCCTTTGGACAGGGACCAAAGATATGGATCAGTAGTTAAGAGTGCTTAGTGCTCTTTCAGAAGACCAGAGTTTGATTCTTAGCAACCATGTCAGGTGGCTCACAACTGTCCATAACCTCAACTCCTCAGGATTCACTGCCTACTTCTGGCCTCCAAAGGTACTTTCACATGTACACACACACACACACACACACACACACGAAGTGGAAACGTAAGAGTTCTTTGGAAAGTGAGTTGGATGGTGTGCAGTTTGTTGCTGCTTCCTTGGACTCAGGCTGATTGGATGCACATACTGAGGCAAGACAAGTGCTGAGGCAAGGCACATGGAGGACAGTGATGTTTGAGGGTATAAACAGCACTCTATAAATAGGAGTGATGGAGACAGAGTGTAGTTAGCTGTGCAACACTTGTAGGTCTCCAGTCTTCACGGATCTTCACTTCCCTGAGAAAGGCACAGCTAAGAACTTCTCCTGGGGTCCCTCTGACTCCCTTACTCCTGACTCGAGCTGAGGCTGAGGCCTAGCTGTTCCTGCTAGGTCTTGTCACCTCTGTGGCTAACCAGAATCTACAGAACTAGACTGCTGGTGTATATGTGAAGTGTTTGCCATTTGATCGAGTTGCCACTGCCTGCTAACCTGTGAACTGAACTGCTGATTTTCAGACAGCACAGACGGGAGTTGCTCTAAAGAACCTTTCTAAACAGGTCCACTCCCCCCCCCCACCTCCATATCCTTTCTTTTCTCCTACCTCTGGTAGGTGGTGGGTTACAAGGAAGGTTAAAGCATTTAAGAACCATTATTAAAAACATATTTTGAAAAAAATTAAAGTTACATATATATATGAAAAAGTAAAAACAAAATATTTTAAAAATCATTTGAATTAAAGTATAAACAGACATTTAGATATATTTTTTAAATAAATCAGTATATTCACTTTAAAATGAAAATACTACTTATCACCATCAGAAATTTTGAAATAGAACTGGAAATTATTGTTGAAAAAAGTATTAGAAGTCAAGTAATGGCTGATAAAGTCAATAATGGATCACTTGCAATCCTTCATCCTATATTATAACATATACAATAACATGTAATAGTGAAAGACAGTCAGAAGTGATCTGATGTGAAACATGACTAGATCTAGACCTACTTTATTCATTCTAGATGGCATAAGGTTGTGAATATGGAAAATTCCTTTAGTAATTCTGCTTTCAAATATCTGTTATCCAGTGTTATCTCATGTAGGATATAAACAAGGTCTATAGCAAAGATAAAGACTATCTTTCCTCATTGTATATTTGACCACTAAAGAGAGAGTGACAAAAAAGAAAAAGGAAAGACTAAGACTTAAGAGATGGCTTGGTGCTTAAGAATAGTCGCTAAGAAACACAGATAATTTGTATTTGTGTGTATGTGTTTTCATATTTGTTTCATGCACTTCTTGAGGCTGAGATGTCAGACAGAAAAGAGTTAATGGTGTAATTCAATCTAATCTCAATATCAAGGAACTAGGAGAATCAACAATATAAATTATAGTTTCAGTATGAGACTAAAAACAGAAGACTGTCCCAAGGAAAATCGAGTAGTAAAAAAGCAGTTTTTCTTACTCAACTTTTTATTTTATTAATTACAACTGACTAGATAAGGCCTATCTCCATTAGGGATATGGCCTATCTATAGTAAGCCAGGTCTACCAATTCATAATTTATCCAGAAACACACACACAGCCCTAATAATTAATTACATCTGGGAACTCCCTAGTTCTGTCAGGTTAACACATAAAATTAACAATAGCAGTTTCTCAGAGACCCATGATTTGTAACTAAATTTTGATCAAGATGGATAACCGTATCAAACAGTAATCTGTGGATTTGTTCATATATTGCCCTCCATTCCTTTCCCCTTAAATCTTTACAAATTGGTATCAATACAATCCAATGTTTGTTACCTCTCAGTGCTTTCTATTTTCTCTACCAAGTGTCCATAACAAAATCATTTGATAGTAACATGGTAAAAGGTAATACATTTTCCTTAACCCACTTACAGAGTTTCCTAATGGATTAGGCTTCCTTCAAACTTTCATTATTTTTCTCACTATCCATTTGATATAACATTGAGATCTGGCTTAAAGAAAACTGCAATTTAGTCTGGAAAGGATGCTCAGAAGACTTAAGAGGAGAGTACTAGACTTGAAAGGATGGTCCATGAAGGGCTGGTTAGGTTGTCATGGAAGAGAGTTTATAGAAACACACAAAGTTTCTGATTCAATCTTGCATCTTTCCCTTTCCTAAGGTCAGTATCCATTTTCCAAATAATTTGGCTCCTGTAGAAGCTATAAGGATGTTAGAGTGCATAAGGCACTACATTCAAAATAGGCATTCTCTTAACAGATGGTGCAAAACTTGGAAGTTGAAGGGAGAAAGCTATTGTTAGGCAACATTTTAAACAAGAAAAATAGTTTGTAGGGGCGAGAAGAGACAATTTTGTTTTGATTCAAAACAGTAAATTACCTGGATGGCTTACACTATCTGATGATCTAAAAATATCAAATTATCCACTGAAAATATGGCTGGCTAAGCTGCTTTTTGCAAATTCATATTGTTTGTTCAACAGATTTTGTGCTCTCAAGTATCTGAGAAGAAAATTTAACGTGTTCTTTTTACCACTAAAAAAAAAAAAAAAAATAGATGTTTAAAAGAAGACTCTAGAATCTCCAGGATGAAACATCACATGTCTCTGGGCATGTCCGTGTTCCTCTCAGAAATAATTATAGATGCCTATTTCATTTGTGTTGATTAAGCATGAAAACCTCGATAAGTCACTGCCAACTTTAATATGTGTAACCATGTTATTGCATCTAAAACCCGAAGTGTCTATAGACACTTATTCCCTTTGTTGGATATTGAGAAAACTATGAGCCAAATCTGTTTAAATACAGCAGCTTTGGCAACAATTAAAAAAATGTGAGAGGTATAGTTTTATTAGGGGAGTTTTCATGGTTGGAGGCAATCAGTTCTTCCGGTTCTCAAAACAACCAACGTAAGTTAAAGCCAATAGCACCTTCAAATATTACTGCTCTGGCCAAAAAATAATTATCACTAGTCATTGGGAAGATTCCAAATTGTCTTCTGGAGCAGTTCCACTCTATTTTGGACAATAAATTGATATGAAGCATAGTGGAAAGAACATGAGCTTTGGCATCAGACCTAAGTTTAATTTTTGGCTCAGTCAAGTACTAGTTATGATATGTTGAACAAATTACTGAATCTTTCTGAGTTTCATTTTCCTCATCTAAAATATAAATAATTGGATTTACCACCAAAATTTAGTTTTGATAAACAA